CCACTCCTCCACACCCACACCCCTTCTTCACGTTCTCTGTTACAAAGTGTGACAGTCGGCCACATACTTGCTATAGGTCTGCCCAAGGAAAGTGGGGTGCGGAGAGATCGAAAAAAAAATGAAGGGAAAGAAAGTAAGAGCTTTGCGTCGGTAATAATGGAGAGCCGTGGGGAAAAGTTTTAGTTTCGAGTTTCTTCCCCCACGGCGGCGCCGCGTACAAGCTACCTAGCCCGCCGGCCTCCTCTGCGCCGTGTACACACGCTCAATATAGTTGTCGTCGCGCCAGGTGGGTTTTGACCACAGCGCCTTGCGGACCGCGCGGGTAGGCCACCCGTCCGCACGCGTGCGTGCAGTTCAGTCTGACGGGAGGCGGGCGGCGCGAGTCATCTGGCCTACCCAGCCCATGCCCTGTTATTGTCAATAAGCAATCGCAGGCAATCGTTCGCCTTGTCTGTTTATTGCGGTTTTAAACGGCTTTGGGCGAAAATGGCAATGCAAAGATGAGAAAAACTGGTGTGTAGTTCAAGGCTGATATGTTCCAACCGACACTAAAAGGAATGGGTTGTGTGTGTGTGTGTGTGAGGGAAGGGGGGGGGGGCTCGGGTCAGGTCAGGGGGCGGCTCTAACAGATGGCTCCGTTTACGCACGGACCCCGCGGTGCGCCCAGAGGCCGCGCCCGCCTGCAGCCACGACGAGGCTCCCTCCTGCGTTACAGGCGGTTCGGCCGGCGCCGTCGATGCCAACTTTATTTGGTCGTAAACAGAGTCGCGGCGTGGCGGGGCGGGGCGGCGTTCATCTCGGACTATGGAGGGCTGGGGCCGGCTGGGCCCGGCTGGGCCCGCGCGGCGCCCTGCTCGCCCTCCACCTCGTCCTCCTCCCCTCCTTGATCTTGGCGCTATAGCGCTGCTGCTGCTGCTGGCATTATGAGATGCTCATTTCGGACCGCCGACGGGCGGACGGATTTTCAACGAAAGCGCACCTCGTTACCTCGTTGCCGCAGCAGCAGCGCGGCTCTCGCCGGCTCTCGCTGGGGTCAGGGGCTCGCACCTACACCACCGGTCTATACACCGCACCACCCGCGATAAGCTCACTCATTCCGCCGGCGTCGAACGGCGACGAGCTCCACACCCCGGCGCTACCCTGCTGCCCTGCCTCCCCTCCCCCCTCCGCCCCCGCGGCTTCTGTTTTCAATTATGTCGCGCTATATAATGTCGTGAGGTATCCGCTCTCCATCGTGCTGGCGCTGCTGCTGCTTGCTCGGGGTTTAATCGTCGTTAGTAGTAGCAGTTGTTGTGTAGTAGTAGAGGCGAAGGCGGGGGAACTATACCTCTCTCGCTCGCTTTCTCTCGCCTCTCTTCTCTCTTCTCTCGCCTCTTTCTCTCTCTCCCTCTCGGTCTGCGAGTAATAATGACGGCCTCCTCTCCGCGGGGCTGCTGCGGCCGCCCGGGGGCGTCTCCAGTGACACCCTCGCCGAGGACGCCGCGGGTCTGGTGACGCTCTCCCCACCACAGCAGCTAACCCCTCCCTCTCCTCTCCTTGTTGCAGAGCAATGTGATGGCGGCTGGCGGCTCGCGGCGCGTGGCTGCCGTGCTCCCCTGGCTGCTCGCCGTGGCCTCGCTGACGGCCCTGCTGGCCACGCCGGCGGCGGCCTCCTCTGACGACTGGAGCCAGTGCCCGGCGGCGTGCAAGTGCAAGTGGGTCTCGGGCAAGAAGGCGGCCGAGTGCACGCAGTACGACCTGACTGCCGTGCCGCGCGACCTGTCGCCGGAGCTGCAGAGCGTCGACCTCTCGCAGAACCCGCTGCAGCTGCTGCCCAGGAACGCCTTCCGCGATGTCGGGCTCGTCAACCTGCACAAGCTGTTCCTGCGGGACTGCGGCATCCGCGAACTGCACCAGGAGGCCTTCAGCGGCCTGGAGATCCTCATCGAGCTGGACCTCACGGCTAACCAGGTGAGTGGATCACTTTCTCGCGCGGTGAGGTGCGCTCCGACTATCTCTGATTATCTGGCCACTTGTCTGACCCGACCGTCTGCCCCCAGATCCACACGCTGCACCCGGGCACCTTCCGGGACAACGTGCGGCTGCGCCTGCTCTACCTCAACCGCAACCCCATCAGCTCGCTGCCGGACGGGCTCTTCTCCAACATGACGTTCCTGCAGACGGTGGAGCTGTCCGAGTGCCAGCTGACGCACGTCGGCCACCACGCCTTCCAGAACGTGCCCAACCTGCAGCACCTCAAGCTGGACGGCAACCGGCTGCAGCACCTGCAGCTGCAGGCCGTGGAGCCGCTGGCGCGCCTCGTCGGGCTCGTGCTGCACAACAACCCGTGGCGCTGCGACTGCCACCTGCGCCCGCTGCGCGACTGGGCCATGGAGCGCAAGCTCTACACCAAGCCCACGTCGTGCGCCGAGCCGCACAAGCTGCACCGGAAGCTGTGGTCCGAGCTCAGCTCCGAGGAGTTCGCGTGCCGGCCGCAGATCATGGCGCCGCCCCAGGGCACCGTCCTGGAGGCCGACTCCGACGAGGTGAGTGCAGAATACCATATCCAACAAAAGTATTTCAATTCCCCACTGGAGAATACCCCCGCGATGACAGTAACGTTCCACATTGACACGTTTGCTCTCGCCCCACAGGTGACGCTGAGCTGCAAGGTGAACGGCAACCCGGCGCCCGAGGTGCAGTGGGTCCACAACTCGCGCGTCATCGGCAACAACTCACGCAGCGTGTACGGCGACCAGCGCTTCGTGGTGCTCGAGGGCCCCGTCGACGGCCCCGTCGTGCCGTCGGCGGCCGGCGGCCAGGGCCAGCTGGGCGCCACCGTCCGCTGGGTCAACCTCACCATCCGCGGCGTGCGGCCGCAGGTGAGTCGTCACAAAATGCCAAAGATAACATAAAATAGTTTGTGCAATATTCTACGTTGTCCTCTCTGTCCCTCTCCAGGATCGCGGGCAGTTCGTGTGCGTGGCGCAGAGCGGCGGCGGCGTGGACGAGCGCAACGTGACGCTCAAGGTGTCGCGCTCCTTCTCGGGCGGCGGCTTCCTGGCGGGCCCCGGCGGCTCGGTGGCCGAGGCCTGGCCGCTCATCGCCGGGCTCGTGGCCGGCGTCGTGCTGCTGCTGCTCGCCACCGTGCTGCTCTGCTGCTGCGTGGCGCGCCGGCGTCGCGACCTGCAGCGCCGGGACGCGGCCCTCGTCATCGGCAAGAAGCCGCCCCCGGAAGGAAGGTGAGGAGTGAGGAACACGATCAGCGCCGAGGCCACGTGGACGGGGGGGATCCAAATATTATAGGGTCTCCACAACTAGCAGGACGGTCATTGGAGTCCAAGGAGACGCCATGATATTTGTACCCCGTCTCCTTGGACTCCAATGACAGTCCTGATCCTTTTGATACCCCATAATATTTGGATCCCGCCATTGTCCACGTGCTTTTTGAAGGGCCTCAATACTGACGCTACCGCTGCTCGCGATTGCCATGACGCTGACGCCACCTTTTCTCTCCCTGCAGGTCCCCAAACGGGGATGTGACTCACCATGTGAGGGCCGATGGGTCTGAGCAGCAGAAGTCCCTCCTCACCATGGTGAACCCCGTGCAGAAGCCGCCCCGGCGCTACGACCACCCTTCGGGCCTGGCGGGCCTCACCGGCCAGGGCGGCACCGAGCTCAGCGAGCTCAGCGAACTCAACCGCAACCTCCTGGACGACGGCTCGATCTATGGTAAGTGTGTGGGGGGAAGGGGGGAAGGAAATTCTAGGAAGTGGCCTAACCTCCATCCCCGGTCCGGCGGCGTCCTGCCGCCCTCCCCCTCCCGTCCTCCTCGGCGCCACAGCATCCGTAATTGGTCCGATCCATTTTTGATGGAGCAGTCAGCGGCGCACTGTGAAATAATAATAATCTCACAAGACGTGGCCCAGATAAAGAAGGACGTCAAAAGTGAAAAAAAAATACCCCTTACCCCTTTTCCTTTCCTTCATACTTCCTCCTCTCCCCTGGCCGCGGCCGTGCCTCCCACTGGGCAAACATCATAATGTAGCAGAATTAATGC